ACCTTCTCTGTTCATTTATTCCCTCAGTAAACATTGTAAAACTGAGTTTATGGTAAATGATGGTCCCTTTATTGTCCACGTCTGTGGACGTTACTTCCTGCTAAATACTGAGACTAAACGTATGCTGATGACACCGATTTATTTATTTGCACGTAGAAGTTATTTGTATTCCCTTCTGACCGTGTTCAGTTGCACCAGAGCAAAACACTAACTCACCAGAGAGCAGTCTTTTCAGTAGTTGTGGGTATTACACTGATGCCCATGAACTTTTGAAGCAGCCAGAATCCAGAGCTGCACAATTAACTGCGAAGGGAAGGACGCTAATGTGATTTTCAGTCCCTGGTTGTAATATTCCATTACCACACGGCCTCTTGGAAGCACCAAGTGGCTGCCATGTTTTTGTTTTATATATATTCGTTGGTGCAGTGGCATTGACAAATCTTAGTTGCATATTTTACTCGTACTCATACTAGAGATTTGAAACCATTCAAACCACTTTAAGGATCATGGTAGATTTGTATTGGGTCACTTTACTTCAGTCTTTCTCTCAAAAGTTCCCCAAATCTCGGCTCCTTCACTCTGTCAGTTTAGAGTATTTAAATGATTGTGAAATAGTAAATCTCATATTAGCAGCTGCTCATGTGGAAAATTGGTTCCTTTGATTGGTCGAACTCCAATTATAGGGCAGCACGTAGCATCGACATAGAGCTGGATACGTCATTTAAACTAATTCATTCACAGTCATGATTCCATTTGGAGGTTCCTGGATGATACGATTCATATACATGTCGTATAAATCCGATTTCAGCTCACCTTTTCTTGCTCTATATAACTATTTCTCTTCTACTTTTAAGTGCAACACTAGGAATGTCCTCCAGTAGACACTTTCTGAAAAATATGCTCGGTCATCAAAACATTTAAAGCGATACCGCGTTTCTATGACGGACAGCTTTGCGGTTCGGCGGAATGCTTACGCTATTGAATTCCCGAAGTTCAGACGACGTTGTACAACCCCGTCTTTTCCAGTCATTTTCTCATAGACTTCTATACAACCAGAGGAGTCGCTCTCTGAGTGTGTGGTGGCTCAGTTTTTATTTGGCTCCATGACTCTACCCATTTGGCTGAGGCCGAGCCGTCCACCGGCGCATTGACACAAAGCGGCGTGTCACACAGGTGTGTGGGTCGCCCTGCCAGCCACGGAGAGAACAAATTGGCCCACAGACGGTCCGGCGTGCCACGCTAGTTGGCTCTGCCTCTCCAGCGGCATCCTGCTATCGCCCTCCCTCCGTGTGAGGCGGAGAGAACGCGACCGCGAGCCACACTCGTCCTCAGGTGTTGGAGGGAGACGGCGCTTGCGGGGCCTAATTGGCGGGACTCTGCCCCGGCTCGCCAGGCATCATCTGCCCTCACAGGACCCCTCCTCCCTCCCTCCATCCTCTCTGTTCCAAAAAAGCCATACCCGTTTCAGGGATCCACGCTGGAAGTCAAATTCCATTAATCAAATCATAGCAGAGCGCGCTGTTGGAATACAAACGAGCCGGCTGCATGTTAATGAGGCAGGAAGAGGATGTGGGAAAGGGGGGGGAGTGGTGGGTAAAGGTGTGTGTGTGTGTGAGTGTGTTGGGAGCGAGGTTTCCACACAGTGCGATCACCCCAGAAGCATGCTGAAGGGGGAATGAGAAAACGGACCGGGGGGAGCTGAGGGGCCGGTAGACAGAGGCCGATCTGTTCAAACCACTCCCCGGCTGCCCACAGGTCTGCTCACCTCTGTATTTCCTGTCTGTGTGCATCGTCCGTACCACGTTTTTTTAACGTCTAACTCGCATCGTCTTTGCACCTTCTTCATACACATTTTGTAGTCTCGCCAGCTTGCTGAGAACCAGGTGTTCCTTTACCTTCTGCTCTTGACTTTGGCTGAGTCACGCTTCGCTGGGAGATATAAATGGACATTACACATGCTTTGTGTGCAGACACACATTCACACCTTGTTTACTGTCAGCCAGTGGTTCCCAGCCTTAAATACCTGCTTGTGACAGCTCACTACTTGTTATCTCTTATTGTGCATGTGGGTTATGTGCAGTTTAATCACAGAGGAATGTTATGAAGACAAACAGACCAAGAAAAATAGGGGGGAAAAAGCCGAACAAAGTTGCCGCTCATCTGTTGACAGCGATGTAAGAGTGTGTGGATGAAGAATTAAGTGAAGTTTTACTCATTCAATCTCTACGCTTCGTAACGTTTGCTACTCCACTGCTCGGTACTTTATGCGGAAGTTAGCCCGCTACAACGGTAGCAATGGCAACAGAAGACATAAAAATGGCCGCCGCTCTGACCATCCTGCTATGTCGATTTGAATCTCTGTTCTACTACTATACATTCTACAGTATACATACCATTGAGGTCTCCTGAGTGGAGAAATTGATAGTTCACTAAGAACAAGACTTTGCTGTACAAGAGCAATGCTGTTCTTTATTTCCGAGTATATATATTTTTTTGCGTTTTAACACGACCTTCTGCAACACTCTGCTCTTTACTTAATGCAGCATTACCTTTCCTTTCCTTTCCTTTCCCCTAGAGCTGCTTATTATTCTTCATGGGGCCCTGCTGCTCCTCCCTGTCTCCTCTCCTCCCCAATTAATAATCGCAATAAGTGACAGCCTTTGACAGATGATCGCTCCCGCCGGAGGAACCGTTTTTGCAGTGATGGTGATGATAGCCATAATAATATTTAAAGTAATAATGATAGCTGTAATATAGTTAAAGGCTTACATGGACCTAATCTCCTGGATTTATTCGACAGCAATACGTGAGTCACTCTGTCGGTGAGAGAAGTTGCTGAGGGCTATTGGAAGCGAGCTTTCTCTTGCTCCGTGCAGATTGGAAACACCAGTTGCTGTTGTGATTTTCTGTGGGAAAATCGTGTCCACATTGAAAAGGGGGAAGTACAAGAATAGAGGCGGAAAGCAGACTGGTTAACACCCTTTAATGAAAACACTTCAACCCACCCAATGCAACTCTGTCAGACTGTACCAGCTCCACTGCTGTCAGTCACGCCGATTCCTCCGTTCCCCCAGCAGGCAGGATATCCTGCACATTACGGTGATGTTTTGTTATTGTGTGAGAAGGTGGTGTTCAAGGGCCACCCGTGTTGGTCATTTGTAGTTCAGCATAGGACTTTCTTTGTCTTTTGTTTGTGTAACTTTGAAAAGATTAAAGCTGCTCTAATCAAAATGATTGTGGCCGAAAAATAGTAAATGCAGCTTTTCAGGCATTTTCACAATCGTGCGATTAATAGCGACGCCGGGAAACAAGGTTGATTTTTCAGAATAAAAGCATCGACCAAACACGTTGTACAGAACGGGTTGAGTTGCGTCTACATTAATGAAACAACACGGAGGCTCTGTAGTCTGAACCAAAGACTGCAAACTTTATTACTCTTTATTACTCTCTCCAACCTCGACAGAGGCAGCGCAGACCAGATCCACTAGCTTCTGTTCTTACCTTTCACAATAAAAGCCCCAGGCATACAATATTCCCAAGTGACTATTTCGTATTTTTGTAGCAACAGCCTGTGCTCGAGTGTGTTAATGGAGAAAACGTTGTGGAAATTTGATTTGTTATGTTCAAATGTCGCTCAGAGAAATAAAGTGATTACCGTGAAACAACGAGCGTACAGACGGCAGGAAACTCTATTATCATCACGAGACGACAGCATCTTTAAATGGCCTCTTTGTCGTCCAGCTGAAAACGAGCCGCCTGCTGTCGCCCGATGTCCAATATGTCGGTCCAGTAATCTCGTTGCAGCATCTTCAGCATGTAATATCTACATGAGATCTGACAGCCATGTCTCTGGTGTCAGTCCGTCTGTCTCTCGTTCAGTCCGAGCGGCCGCCAACAGCTCTCAAACGCAACACCTTGGAAATACAACCGCTGTCGTCCAAAGGAAACTTTGCATTTTTCAATCGGCTTTAAAATACTGCATGTACCATGTCCAAGATGTCAGCAGCTGGAGCTGGAGGGGGAGGGACACCGATGAGGGATTAACTGTGGCTTGTTGAGCTTTTCTTTGGTAATGGAGCCGCAGCACGGGCACCGTGCCATGTGGCCATATTGATGCTGGGCGGAGGATGTGGAGAGCCGGCGTTTCACGCTCTATGCGGGATTAGGGCAGGGGGTCAGTGCGGCTAATGGAGCTCATATGTTCAGAGACAGAGGGCCTTGTAGTAAGAGTGGTGCTGTGATATGGAGGGGGGGGTTATGTGGGGCAGAGTTTACATGAGTGCCAGTCAACGGAAATCAGCTGGAGACGGTTTAATTTCTCCACCTTCACACAGCGAGCTGCTCTGGAGTCTTATCAAACATGTCCCTGCTCTCTTTGTGTGATCAGTTTGTTCATATACTGTGTGTAACCGTCTCTTTCACAGTGCTTATCTCAGAGACTGGTCCGCCATGCTTTTTTGCCGTCAAATAGGACAAGTGAAGAAGCAAGGCAAAAGTCAAAGGCCAGGGTCATCTCGGCTTACAGTGGGTTCTTTCTGTGAGGGAGATAAGGTGCAAAGACTGAGGAATGTCAACAATATACTCGTAAATTGTTCTTAAAAGGTTGTTCACTGACAATATCACAACCCTTTGATCAGACTCTTAAAAGCTCTGATGACCAAAGGTTATTTTCTTTTTTCTGCGCCCGGTGACAGCCGTCGCCGAAGGCATTATGCTTGTGCGTTGTCTGTCCGTCCGTCCGTCCGGTCCAATCTCGTGAACGTGATATCTGAGGAACGCCTGGAGGGAATTTCCTCAAATTTGGCACAAACGTCCCGTGATGAGTATATTGAAAGTCATGTCTAAAATTTGTGTTTGTGTCCCTCTAAGGCTTCTTTGTTTCCAAGCTTGTGCACTCGTATTTCTTTGTCAACATCCGTACTGCACTAACCGTGATTTTTCTTCTCTTCTTTGTTTTGCAGTGAGCGAAGCCGGGACCGCCACAAGTCCCGCGGTAAAGACAGCCGCTCGGAAAAGTCCGTAACAATTACCACGCCGCCCGCAGAGCCGCTGCTGGGCGACTCGGCCGTTCGCGGTGAGCAGGTCCAGGTAGGGCTGAACACAGCGCCGCTGCACCGTCACCCAAAAAGCAGTCCCGCATCCAAACCGAATCACACATTAGGAATCACCTCACACTTTCTGTACATTTCGCCTCTACCTTTTGCGGAGCACGGTTGCTTTATGATCTCTGCTAGTCCGATTTATAAGGGATTTAGAGTACAGGAGATTTATCAGTCACTACTCAAAATGAGCTGGAATGATAATTGTGTTTATCAGCCCGGGCTGGGACGGGCCATCTGGTATTTGAGGGCAAAAGCCAGAAAGGGCCAGTCCACTTTTGGCGAGGCCTACGCCATCACTTTCAGGAAATCCACTGCAGATGAAATATCTGCAACAGGATAAGGATGCAGCAGGTTGCTTCTGTGGTCATCGCCACTTTGTTTTGTCGGAAGCAAACGCTGTATTTCACTGCAGGGAGGGGTTCAACTCATGAGGTCTAGTGCAAGGTGGGGAGATTGCTTCAGCGCCCCCCGCCCAAAAATGGACCAGACCAAGCAAAAAAAAACGGCAGCTTAGCTGTTTTGACTGTCAGTCAAAATTCAAACTCTTCCCTCAGAAACCATGCTGACTTTGTCAGTGACAGAGAAATGGATTATATGATAACACAGAAATATAAGGTAGGAGATTGATCGTCAAATTGTCTTGTTCGTTAAATATTAACGTCTCGTAGGCTACACCATCAGGATGTGTTTGTCTGGGCATCGGTGCAGTCTGCCGCCCGATCATGTTTCCTGGAGTCGGATAAAAGGCAGAGCGAATAGCACTCGAGGGGTACAAGAGATCTCGCTTCCAAAACAGGCGATGAGTCATAGCCAATTTGTTGCGTTTTGTGTGGTATTTTTGAAAACACATTTCATCGTGTGACCCTTAAAGAAAGAAAAAAATTAGACAATTCTTAAGATAACGGTTTGAGGGCTGTCATGACAAACAGCATTTCTTCAAATAAGTCTGTTGATATAAATTAGGATATCATTAAGTCGCCGTATTTGCTTCGTTCAACAGTTGTGAAAAATGACTGAGAATTGAAGCAGATAATGAATTTAAATAAATAAATAGTAAAAAAAATAAAATACAAATGTTCCGTCTTGTGTGTCTTGAAGCGTGAAGTGTTTACAGCCAGGGAGCCTGTTTTTAATGAGATGTAAAGTAGCCGAGCCCTGTTTGTGACTGTCTCATGACTGAATAAGGCTTTAAAGTGGGGCTGTATGAGGTACTTATCCATAGTCGGTGTATTACCGACAGTAGAAGGTGATAAATGGGGAAACTGAGGCCATTATCTATGATCTCTTCAAAGCCACCAGACTCCATTGTCAAAACAGTAATTTTACCTCGCAGTACACAGAGGTTGCTGGTCTACTGCTGCCTCGAGTTAGACCAGCAACTCCTTCGTTCTGTGATTCTTCTCATGCAGTCTGGTGGCTTTTAAAGAGAGCATAGGTGGAAACAACCGCTTCAGTTAACTAACTTTCCGTCACGTGAAAGAGTGAAATGTGTGCCGTTACTCGTCCAGCGTGCTTTGAAAGCAGGAACTTCAACACTTCGTTGCTGCTGGCAAGAGTCAAAACGCAATGTAATGAAAGAAGAGAGTTTAGCACACAGACAGCCTCTGCTTACCCAAGACTGACGCGCTCTTTATAGCCAAACAACTGTCTGGCACGGTGGCCCTCATCAAGTGTTCGGCTTAAGCCGCTGAAGGGAAGAAAAGAAAAAAACACGCCCCGGTCCCTCCGACGTTCGGCAATCGTGTACTGACCTACTTGGCGCTCACTTTCCGTCGTGGCGAGACTCGTTAGCAGTCGTTTGTGTCTAATTTTAACACATGACAGGATTTGCCACAGAGCACAGTCGTCCTCGGTGTTTTTCGCTCTCCATGTCTTATTCATGCCGTGGCCTGCAGTGGAGCTGCTGACAGGGCGGGGAGCGTTTGGCTTCAGTTTGAGTAATCAGGGCCAGCGTACTCCGCTGAGAGAGCGGCTCAGCACAAATCCCCGCGTGTGCACTCCGGTCCCTGCTATGTGCTCCCGTATGTGAATATTTAGGGTCGGCCTCGTCTCGCAGACGCTGCCGCTCATTACTTCCGCTGCCGGGACTTAACCGGAGTCTTGGCTGACGGAGCGGTGCATCGGGGGATGTCCTCCTGATTCCCGGCGCAAAAAAAAGTTTCTCACGGCCTTACCGCAGGAAATCGTAAAAAGAAGAGGGGTGGTAGATTTGTTCAGACCCTGCTGTTGAGCGGTGGTGTTTGTGTGTGTTCATGTGTTCACTTGGCAGCAAGCATTCACAACATGCAGAGCACAGAAACCCAGTTTGTTTGATCAAGTCTTTTTAAGGGGGTTACGGGCTTGACTATTTATTGGCTGCTAGCTGTCTCTAGTCTCGATGTTAAGCTAAGCTAACCTGCTTCATATTTTGTGTACATCAATCTTCAAACAAACTATTTCTTAGCTTAGGTGTAAACTGCCAAACACGCCTCATGACGACCAGTTCTTCACACGCTTTGTTTATTTAAAATGGGATTTCGACACGGCTCGTGAATGAGGTTGATCGTACACCTCTCAGACAGCTCGGTGGGTTCCAACAGGTCGCTCCAATTCCAGGACGCGGGCCAAAGCCCCGGGCCGTACGTACGTGTGAATGTGAAGAACACGCTTCAAGTGCTCGTTCAGCTGTGAAGTCTGAAGGTGGGAACGAGGTGGTTCTCGGCAAGTTGTATTTTGCCGGCTAAGGACAATGGAGGGGAGCGTCGCCTGGACCTCTGGAGGTGAACTGACACTCAATAATGTGAGCAATTTGGGTCAATCCGTCCTGCTGCTGTTGGCTGTATGAAACTGGATATTGGAGTGGATACTGAGAGGTTGATGGGAGCAGCGGCGGTCGATGCAGCGCGGCTTAGGAGTGTGATGCCGGGCCGGCATTGTACGAGGTGTCAAACAAGAGAAATGCGATATGTTTAAACCACAAAGCATTCTTTGAGAATTAGCGCCTTCCCATCCCAACAAGTGGAGAGAGAGAGAGAGAGGGAGTGAGAAAGAGAAGTGGAGCTGGGTTTATTTTTAGATGAGCAGTTTAGAGAGGGAACCGCTCCCCCCCCCCTGTTCTCCAGCTGCTGTCAGGTGCTCTCTGGTAAGGAAATGCTGAGCGACAATTTGGCTCAAAATGCACCTAAACTGATTTGCATAGCTGGTATGTGATTGCTCAACCTTTTGTAGCTTACTTCCAGATTTAAGACCTTTAACGGCTTACAACATCGTCACACAAGAGTCCTGATGTTCCTCCTTCTTGTATCCAAATTCTGTAATCGTTCCTCTAGCGGTGCTTAAAAGTAGAGCGACGGTTCTTCTAAGTCACACCATACCACTTCTCAACAATACCAGAAATTTAGTATTTAATACCAGTGAACTCCTCCTTACCCAATTTACCACCACCTTAAAAAACAAAACACTTAGAGTTATTGTTAGGAAGTTAAACGGGTCCTAATTCCCTCTCAATAACACAATAACGTTATAACTTGCCTTCACCTAATCCTCATTTTTACTGAATAGAGCTTGAACGCATCATATTGAAACCCAATGCAACCTCCGTTAACGGTAGCTGTTAGCTCTAGTGTCGGTTCTGGTACATAGCGAGTTTTGATTGTTTTTAATACGCTCCGTCGGGTTGCTGTGTTCCGCTTTTGATGAGCAAGTTTTTGTCTTACCATCCCACATGCGCACACACACACGCACATTAACACACACACACACACACACACACATTAACACACACACATTAACGCACACACACACACATTCAGCCTCGCCTGTGGCAGCGCTGCGACGCCGCGGTGCTCACTGGGTCAGAAGCGATGCACGGAGAGTGGCACTGAGGCAAGAGGCGAGCAGAGAATGAGAGAGAGGATGCCTTGAGGGAAAGACGGATAAAAGGAGGGAGGAAGGAGGGAAAGAGAGGGAGGAGGAGGAGGATGGGTGAAACCCTTGGAGTATAGCGATGGCACCTAATTGGTGTTGTTTACTCTCCTCTCTGGACTGTTTATTTACTGTACTCCTCCGCTCCACCTTCCTCTCCTGCTCCATCCATCCATCCATCCCATACCCCCCCCCCCCCTCTTCTCTCCATCTCTCCTGCTGTCAGGACATCCCATGTGATCATCTCATATCAACTCTCTTCCTCTCTCCTGCTCTGCGCGCTCCATCACTCCTCTCCATAGAGCCCCACACATTATGTGGCAGGCGAGCGCACAGTCCCACACGATGCCTCCTGAGGCATGATGGGAGAGATTTCTATATAAAGCAGAGTCGGGGAGGTCACACACACACACACACACGCACACACTCTGGGATGTATCGGGGGAAGGAAGCACAGAGGCGATGTTCGAGCGAGCCGGACCGAGGTGAAGTTCAGTGAGGATTTCGGGGATGCAGTCGCCACCGGTGATGGAGGCGGGAGACGAAGTGCTGCAGGTGCTCGAGGTCTGCGAGGCGATAGAGGAGATAAGGGAAGTGATTGTCACCACCATAGAAGAAGACTCTATTACTAACTCTCCTCCAGTGGCCAGCTCTGGAGCGGGGACTAAACCGAGCCAGGTAAGAACAAGAGAGGTCCAACATGCAGCGACTGGAACTACAGGTTTATATAGAACAACAACATCTATATAGACGAGTGAGGACGTCTAGTGCTCGCTGTCGCTGGATGTATAGCTCTTATAGAAATGTTGTTGGTCGAGGACGGCAATATATATTACACTATCTGACGCAATAGAGTGAGGCGAAGTCTGTACCTCAACGGCGAGGGACAAATGCTTTGTTTTTGGTTTGAATTGTGCCATAAATTACACTTGTAATGTTTGTCAGTTTAAAAATAATTGTGCAGGTCAAGAAACGTTGATTGCTTGATTAATTAGTGAACGCCACCTTTATTGCAATTAACAATAGGCCTGCAGAGAAACATGCCCAAGTGGAGATATTTCATACACATAAGATTAACTTGAAGTTGTAATCAACTGCTCTTAAAGAAAGCTCCCACTCTTAAAGTTAAACAAAAGTCGTATTCTTCACACTCAGCAAAGAACTTCTTTCCTCCTTAATCTGCTCTTGAGATGATTTCAAGTGTAATTCAAAGTCGTCCCAGGTTTCTCCATCAGCTCTCACTTAATGCCACATAATCCTCACACCACTTTCTGGGTTTTGCTAAATTAGAAGTTCTCTATTCCCTTCATGGTTACCTGACATTCCCGTGAATAATCCATTTCAACCATACTGCAATTTAACCTCTTTATCAAGCGCTGCTCAGCTGCCGGCCTCCCATTGTCTCGCTGTCACTCCTCCATACTTGGAGTTAGTCCGGGGGACTATTTTTACGGCGCTTCCCTTCCTTGTCCCGACAGGTTCTTGGCCGCCTCGCACGCTGTCCACAGTTTGAACAAAGGTTGGTTTTAAAGGAGCTCTTTGGGAATGCAATATTTTACACACACATACGCACACCTTGCCTCCCAGGAGTGAGTAGAGTGCACTTGTTCCTGCTCTGAGCGAGAGGCTTTTGTTTGCAGCCCACTTATTGCTGAACAACAGAAAACAGGCTTTTAGTGGATATTTGACTTACCGCGAGAGACAATGGCTGTTATTTGTACTCCGGTGGAGAAAGAATGCATAAGATACTCGGCTGAAAGCTTTGGAAATGCACGCTGGCAGACATAGCGTGTTAGTGTGCGTAGCCAGTGTGCTATATATACACCTGCTCAGATACGCACTTAAAGGCTTAGTGGTAGTTATTGTAGTCCCAAAGAACTTCTACAGGTGCAAAATATTCAGCTTTCTCTGATTTTAACTGCAAAAATGTGTTATTTCACCTCCAACCAGAATAGAATATTCTAAGCAAATGTACTTTTTTGGCAAAACAGATGTAATTGTCATATAATTAAAAATAAAAAACACCCCGAAGGGCTTTTGAGCGAGGGCCCACAACATCAGGAAACCCCTCCAATCCCCACAAGCAGTCCTGCAACGCAATACGATGCACGCAGACGAGTGTGCGGTTCGCATGTCTTGCTGGATGTGTTTAAAGCTCAGCAGCCCCTGTATCATGTTGCAGCACTTAAAGTTTGCAGCCGGGCCAACATTTCATCAAAGAAATACTTTGATGGCACATTCTGCCTCTTATCAAACCGCCCTCGCCGTGCTTTTATAGGCACACCGCTCAACAGACTTTAATGATGCCTCCATTGTCTCTTCCCTTCTCTTCTCTTCTCGAGTGGTGTGTGAGAACACGTCATATCGGATGTTTCCGTTATTCAGCTGTTAAGTCGCCCAGAGCGGAGGAACTGCTTGTAAAACCGTCGTCTGGGTTGAATAAATCCCTGCAGGCGTAGCACGTAGAGTAGACCTGACAGGTGTTTAGTTGAGGTGTGTTTTATTCATGACACACATGTAGTTTTGAGCGGAGGATTTCACACGTTGGTCTGTGTGCAGTAATACTCTCTGGCCTTTGAACTGCCACTGGCCTCACTTTCGCCGCTCCTCTTCCTCCGTTTCAACCTACTTTTCCTGTGATGAATGGGACTGGGCCTCCTGCGAGGCTGCTGGTACTGAACCAGATCAGCCTGAGGTGGCTGCTTAATCCCGTTAGGAAATGTGGGTCACTAATGTCTATTTTTAAATGTCGGCTGAGGGAAAGCCCAGGTAGAGTAGTAAGGACCCAACGACAGTAACGCTCCAAATTTCATTAGCATTGAGACGGCTTGTTGATGAGCAGGGAATCCTCTTACTGATTTTGCTTCATATTAAATCATTTGAAGCACCGTGTGATGTTCTGCTAGTGTACTTATCAATGCTTCCTAGTAGAGCTAAAACAATCAGACAAAAAAATCAACACAAATCAAAAGTGCCGGCGGTGCCTACATGTACCAGGATGCATTGCGTGCGAGCTTCCGACGCTGAGGTTCCCCGTCGGCCGTATTCTCTTGCACCATTAATGCAGTGAATTATTTTTTCTTCCATTCTTGCTTTAAACATAACTCGTTGCCACATCACTTAATTCCAGTGGTGATAGACTTCTTAAAGGAGTCCTTAAGCAGCGTGTGATTCAGAGGTATGAAACTATGAGCGATGAGTGTTGATGAGTGGAGGCATGAGAAGCTGTGATTCATGTCTCCCCTCGGTGCTCCCGAGGTGGTGAGGAGACACTTTTCCTTAAAACTAATGCCTAGTGATTTGCTTACACACACGGAGCACGCTTGTCTTCACCAGCTGGTCGTCAGACAAGGTTATGACTTGAGAATGTGTACTCAGCACCACGTGGATCAGTTGTGCCATATTTACTCATTCAGAAAAAATAAATATGTTTTTAAGTCGGGAGATGCTAAAACATTACTGCATGGCCGCTTTGTTTTGACAAAATATCCCCAGTGCTGCTGAGGCATGCATACGTCCCCGATGCGGAGCACTTATCCTCTGCTAATACCAAGAGAAAATAATGAGGCCTTGCTTACTTTTGTCGTCTGCCGGGGATCATTGCTCCGTGTGAGTAAAAGGCCTGTTGTTTAAGTCTCCACGGAGAGAGGCTGAGGACCTCTTCAGTCCGCCTCTCTCATTATTGATGAAGTGGCTCTCACTGTTCTGTTTCAAAAAGCAATCTCCACTCCAATTGACTGCACTGAAACATGCATTATTTATGTTTGTTTGTGTGCATGTTGCATTGCTTTCCCAGACTTTTGTACGATTATCTGTCAGATACAATTAATCTCCAACTGTCGAGTTTAATACATAAAGAGTTGATCTAATGTTACTGTTGAATTATAACGTGCATCATGTTTGTTTTAAGGAATCACTGATTGGAAATCGTAGTGAGATGCTAACTGGAGCTGCAGACCTGTACTGTAACAAGCACACGTTGGTTATATGTACCAATAGCGTTTAAGACATTCCACTTGAAAGCTAGCAAGCTAGGCTAACTAGCGTCCACTCGGAAAGTAGAAGTTAGTAAGCTAGGCTAACTACAGTTAGTGTACTGTGTGTACGACTGAATTTAATGAGACACGCATAAGAAAGAAGTGCCATTAAACAGTATCTTTCTACACCTTTTACTCACTCTTGATACGCGGAGCAGCCATCTTGGATTTTGAGGTTGCTGCTCCAGTTGAAATTTCTAAATGGGAAGTCAAGAATGCCGACTTTCCCAGTTCAAATGGAACGCCCCATTAGCCTTGCTTGCTAAGCACTGATTTTACTGGCATGAATAAATGAAACGCAGACACTTTGGCCCTTCTAGCACAAACGTCAAGTCGCTTCCCGCAGAGACGCGTCGAGATCTTCACTCTTTGACCTTTTTTTGAACCCAGGCCACGCATTCCACCGTCTGGTTTACAGCTCACGTTCATGATTCGTGATGTTTCAGCTCTTCCTACAGCTGCGCAGACATCGAGCTGAGCATTTACAACCGCGTTGTCGTGTCAAAGGTCAGATGAAACCGAGATAGTTTTCTGTGCCGGACCTCATCAAGGAGGCCGTCCGTGGAAACCAACAAGTCAACATTTTGACGTGTCGTCTCCCGTGAATGGGCCATGAATAGAAAATGTTTCATGTTTTTTATTTTTATATATATATATTTATATATTTCTCTCATGTTCCGCCCATCTAATGCATGTGTGCATCCACTATTGATATTCTGTATAGCAGTGAAAATTCTATTATCAGTGTATGAGTGACAATAGTAGCTTCTTTCTAGCTTCAAACACAACCTGAGCTTTCAGCCTGGGTCCTCCCATTGTTCTGCTTCATCTCTTTCTCTGCTGCTTTAACCCCCGAGGCCAGTGGGATATTCTCTGCGCCACCCCCCCCCTTCCCAGTCTACAGCGATCACAATACATCTCTCTGCTCACTAATACACCCCTTGAAATAGGATTCATCTCCAATGGTACTGCTCTCTGGCAACAGCGCCTTTGGTTATCGGAGGTTCTTGTAGCCGATGGCAGTTCGTCATTGGCCCTCTTTTTTCGTTGGCAGGGCCGGTGCTCAGCCGCCCACAGAGCCGCGGTAGCAGCTTGTTGTGACTGGCTGTGTAAAGAGTTATTATCTTCCCTTGTTCTAGCGGCTCCTGCTCCGACGCCGCTGACCTTCATTATCTGCGGATGCAGTCGGACCCAGACGTCAGCGTTTAGCCCAGTTGGCAGCTCGCTCTGTTTACTTTTTCCACTTCCTATCTTCTACTTTCTTTTTCTTGCGTGCTGGGAAATTACCTCCTGTGCCTTTTTTTGTTTTGTGTTGTTGAGCTGACGTCAGATGCAAAAGCAATATAATGTAACTCCACTGGAGGAGCCTCAGCTGTAGGACAATGTTAGCCGGCCTCATACAGCGCAGTGACAGAAGGTGGAAGAGATGGAAGCTTCCTCTCTTATATTTTCAATCTTCTGATGTCCTCTCTCACATTGTCCCCTCGAGCACAGTAGCTGTATCAGGCCCAAGCCCCACTCCACCATTGTGCTTTTGTTATTGTGCATTGGCTGGACTTTCATTGGGTGCATCTCATTGATCATTTGCACATACATTTATTATATCTGGTTGTAAATTAATTGTAAAAAACTAATTGTAGAAATAATTCAGTAGCCTAAATTATTGAGAGAAATTTATGTAAATCTATTCCTGAGGTATAGTGATCTCTAGCATCTATCTATGGATAGATTAAATAATATTATTTCATACATCATACAGGTTAATAGGAGGAATTACAGGTGATGAATAGAAAATCTTTCTTTGATTTATGGTTTATGATGGCTGACCGGATCAGTTTTTATCCAGTGAGGATGAAGAAGTTAGGAATGATAAAATAAGGGTTTTAGGATGCACTCGTTATCTTAAATGCTTCCTTGTTCCCTCCTCTTCATATCTCCAGGATGACAACTGGGGCGAGACCACCACGGCCGTCACGGGCACGTCGGAGCACAGCCTCTCCCAGGAGGACATCGTCCGCATCACCAAGGACCTGGAGGACAGCGTGGGCCTCGACTGCCGCCGCTACTTCACCCTGGCCCTGGCCGTGGTCCTGGGCCTGCTGGTGTTCCTGACGCCGATCGCCTTCCTGGTGCTCCCCCACCTCCTCTGGCCGGAGAAGCTGCAGAGCTGCGGCACGGCGTGCGAGGGCCTCTTCATCTCCGTGGCCTTCAAGCTGCTCATACTGCTGCTGGCCGTCTGGGCGCTCTTCTTCAGGCAGCCACGGGCCGGCCTCCCGCGGGTCTTGGTGTTCAGGGCGCTGCTCGCCGTGCTGGTGCTGCTCTTCGTGGTCGCGTACTGGCTGTTCTACGGCGTCAGAATACTCGACTCGCAGGTGGGTTTGGAGACGGGAATGCGGGCGTGAAATATGATAATATCACTGCTCGTAAGTGCACGGTAACTAAAAATAAACATGGGAATTCAAGTTGTCAGACACACACTAAACTAAATATTTCCAATAGCAGTGGGAGAGGTCTCGTTTATTGGAGACACATACATTTTTAATGCCTTTTAGGAGCTCAAAGAAATCACAACCAACCAAAAGAGATATTTGGTTTCCCCAGCGCTGTGTTTACTGTGAGAATCATAATTTAAAATCCCGGTTGGTCCCTCATTCAGAATGCATGTAGGAAAACAGTAAAATGCTTGCAATCCTTTGAAATGTGTCTAAATATTCATACGCTCTACATCTTGTCTTACATGTGTACGATCTTTTTTTTTTATATCCCTGCAGTAATATTTTTTGGGGGAAATGTTTACTGCATTTGCATGTAGTTTAGATTCAGTGTATACTCTGCGTATATGTCATCAGGCAGCACAACTGACCCTTTAATATTGTCGCAGGATGAGAACTACCAGGGCATCGTGCAGTACGCCGTGTCGCTGGTGGACGCCCTGCTGTTCATCCACTACCTGGCCATCGTGCTGCTGGAGCTCCGGCAGCTCCAGCCGTGCTTCTCCGTGTGCGTCACGCGCTCCACCGACGGCGAGATGAGGCACTACAACCTGGGACAGCTCAGGTGAGGAAGCACGGGGAGCGGCCAGCTGCTTTTTTCAATGTTGTCCGCTCATATCTTCTCATATCTTCTACAAACGTGGCAAGACGATGTGTGTCAATGGTTGATTTCTTCAAACAGCTAGGCACTGGAGTTTTTATCAAACGTCACCCAAATGAGAGGAAATACTGTGTTTGTTGGGGACTATTTTCAGCGCCGGATTAATCGGCATTTGGGGTAGCAGGGCGGTGTATGTGGGATCATGACAGAATACACTACAGTGTGTGTGTGTGTGTTTCTGTGTGTGTGTTCATGGTAATGAAGCAACATGTCAGCCAGTAAACGGTGTGGCTCATTGGTGTGAACAATGGAGCTCGATGGCACAGAGGAAGGAGATAAATCAGCCTCTGATTGGTCTTTTTATGGGACTGTTTGCAATAACAATCATGTGAATTAACGACTTTTTTTCGCAACAGAGTGTTATTCAGCTTTCTCACTGAGGAATCGGTGGATGCGGCTAGCATTGAGAGCAAGTTTAGCGGAATACCCAGATGTGCATGTAGAGAGAGAGAGAAGACAGAAGGAGTAAGGGGAATGGACAAGATGCAAGGTAAAGTGAGCCATGTTGATAGATGATAGAGGAGGAGAACATGGGAGGGGGGGGTGAAAGAAGGGAAAAGGGGGATGTGTGGGCGAGATGAAGGCGGAGGGAGAGAAAGAAACTGGGACACCTCAAGTGAGAGAGACATACACTGGTGACACATTCATAAATGGGAGGAAGTAACTCATACAAGAGGCTGAGAGAAAGGAAAAGAGAAAAGGGAAGATGGAAGAAAATGCAGAGACAAGAAGGCGTGCAGACTAAGTGGCTGATGGGGAGAGGAAACCATGCCGGGAGGAAAACAACGAAAAAAAAGAAAAAAGGAGAGGGTGGGGAAGACTTCAGAGAGGAAAGTCCTCAGAAAAGAGCAGCGCACAAAGGGCGGAGTACAGAGGGAAGACCCAGGAGACGGAGGCAGGGAGAGCCAGAATAGAGAACGAGGGATTAATACTTAATGGTAGGCTAGAGTTGAAGAATCCTAACATGTATGTGGGAATGAATGAAAGGAACTGTGTGTGTGTGTGTGTGTGTGTGTTTGTCAAAGAACAGCTCCGACCAGACCAACCAGGTTTTTATGACCTTACTACGTATCTCTGAGCAAAAACAGGAAGATCCCATTTTTTTACGCCAAACACATCAGCTCCCCAGTCTCGCATACGCTCATAAATCATGATGGATTTATAGACGGGCCTCTTTTATGACCGGACGGATGAAGCATCATCCCCCACATCTGCTCCCACACTCAGGTCTTATCTTTCTGTAGTTGTGCAGGTGGACTGGTTCACACTTTGTGTCTTGAAGTTTGAACTTTTACTGACTCCTCTCTGTGACCTCCATAAGAAAACCAGATAAATCTGATGAGGTCTGTGTGGCTGCTCCACTAAAATCTCACTTGATAACCATTTGCCATAAATCATCAATTCCTTGAAGTAAGTGTCTTTGGCTGGAATTATATAGCACAGGAAAGTCTTTGAACCCAAACCTTTCAGTTAAAAAACAACAACAATCCAAATCACCACATTTAGAGATACGAGGTAAATGCATGGCATTGGTAGAAACGGGTCAGGCGTGTGTGTGTGTGTGTGTGTGTGTGTGTGTGTGTGTGTGTGTGTGTG